GCCAGGGCCTCCTCTCTCGAGGCCAGAGTCTTCCATCACAAGAACCTCGTGACCTGGTTGTCAGATCTCCTGAAGGGATGAGACTTACGGCTGATGCTGAACTCTGAAGCTATTATGGTCTTTCTCTACAATTGGCAACTATCTGGTACCGAAAGAAGAGAATCCACTTCTTTCTTTTATCATTCCTAAAATCAGCCAAATGCAGCCGCCAGGAAAGTTGGATCAGCGATAACAACGCAGAACCCAATAAACCGCACCAACCAGCGAAAGTTTGGACTACAGAATTGGGTAGGGGCCGCGCGAACGCAGGCCCCCGCTGCCACAAATTATGACGTAGGCTCGGCCACTTGGGCCGACCTTGGGCTAGCACCCCTCCAGAGTGCAATGGAGGTCACTAGGCCCAGGCCATGGGCCTTCTCGATCGCCCATTGACCCCGTCCAGGTAAGTGATTTGCTCTGCGTCCGGGCCTTGGCTTTGTATCGGTCAAACTCTCCCGCTGGTTCACCTGCTGCTCTGTGTGGGACAGAGAGAGGGAGAGATGGAGATGGAGGAATAGCTCAAATTTTGGGGTCTTTTAGGGTATGACAATGGTTTTTCAGGGGACTCGTTTGGGTGGTCGAAGGCGAGAAGAATCAAAAGTGTGTTTCTTGCAAACAGGGGACTTACCAAGAGTCGTGATCTTGATTGATTGTAATTGATATTGTGATATCCAATTACTTTGTATAACATTCAGTATAACTTATAAATAGATTCGTGTATTCTTCATTATGGATACATCGAAATATACAGAAATTTCACATTTATCTTTTCTGTATTATTCTTATCTATATATTAGAGCCAAACAAGCCCATCAAGTTGTAGCAAACCGGACGAGTTCAAACTATTTTCATTGCTTGTCTCGAAGAACGAACACCACCATTAGAGCCACTCTCAAGCAAAATAGATCTTGCAATTTCGTTATCAATGGACCTCGGCAGCCGCCAATAAAATATGAGCCTAAATTATAAAGGCCCTCTAACGTTGCAGGGTAGCGCACCGAGGCGGCCCTTGGATCCTCGCTCCCTCACGAGGGAGGGGAAACCCATGCCTTCCTGTCCCAACAGTATGGACTTTTAGCTCCGTCAAAATGTCTTTTTTATTTGAGATGCACAAAGTGACCCATCATGAGAAATTTCAGACCATATTGCTATGATGGCCCTCACTTATACTGACAGCACTTTGCGTTCTCGCCTTTGGCAATCTACCACTTTGTCTTTGAGTAGGTTGTGATCTCTTTAGGGGCTGCAGCTGCGGCTGCGACTGCGATAAAGCTGAGAAAGCGACCAGAATATTTAGGTAAATTGATCATTGCAAGTGTTAATTTCTTTGCATTTTGTTCCTCTGCAACGCCTCAAGTTAAAAAGGGATACTTTTATTTCTTCCTCGATGATTGGGCGTTGTCTTTGATCCGACACTTTGCTCTCCTGCTAATTCCCACCTTCAATCTCCGCATGCACCATGTTGCCTCTCAAGTCGTTATTCTGGTCCCGACTTTCTCCATCTCTGTAGGTTGTTTTTCTAGTTTCGCATAGCGTTATCTTTCGACCGCCCTTTTCAATTTGATCAGGAGCGAGGCTTAGAACATGACTTTCGATTAGAGTTACAATAGCCACAAATCGGTTCGGTGTTAGTTTGAAATAAACAGGTCACCTATTCATGGAGATCTCAACTTGTGTACTGAAATGTCTGGCTACGTGGTTCGACGTGCTGATGCCATTCCAAGCACATTATGACGACTCTGATCTCACTCCCAGTAATGACTTGCTTTGTATTCGGGATTCAGCCTGTTAAGATGTTGGCTAGAATTTATTTGTCAATGCAACACTTCATATAATCTTTTCCCCTTTCCTTCAATCCGAGGGACTCAGCGTGCAATCTTAACATGAAATCTTTGGTGGCCAGGGCCTCCTCTCTTCCATCTCAGGAACCTAGTGACCTGGTCATCACCAGCGAATGAAAGGAATTTGTTAGCGTCAGCAATCTTGAAGGGACGGCTTAACTCTAAAGCTCGTATGGTCTTTCTCTGCAATTGGCAATCTTTTTTTATCTGGTAGCGAAAGAAGAGAACCCACTTCTTTCATGATTCCAAAATTCAACAAAATGAAGCTGCCAGAACGCGTTGGATTAGTGATGTAAACAGAGACCAACGGGAGTCGTGCGAGCCAGTGAAAGATTGGACTGCAGAATTGGGTAGGGGCCGCGCGAACGCAGGCCCCCGCTGCCACAAATTATGACGTAGGCTCGGCCGCTTGGGCCGACCTTGGGCTGGCACCCCTCCCAAGTGCAATGGAGGTCACTAGACCCAGGCCATGAGCTTTCTTGATCGCCCATTGACCCCGTCCAGGTAAGTGATTTGCTCATTGTCCGGGCCTTGCTTTCGTACTGGTCAAACTCTCACTGATTCACCTGCTACTCCGTGTGGGACAAAGAGAGAGATGGAGATGAAGCAGCCGGTCAAAATTTGGGGTCTTTTAGGGAATAGCAATGGTTTTTCAGGTTACCCGTTGGGTGGTCGAAGACGAGAAGAATCAAAAGGGTGTTTCTTGCGAACAGGGGACTTCCTAAGAGTCGTGATTGTGCTGTTGTAGTTCGCAGTGGTTGCTTTTTGGCTGTTTAACCATGAGGAAGAGAGAAAAGGGTGAAGAAAAAGAATGCGAAAGAGCGTGTAAATGAAGGATGTCTGGTCCAAACTTCTCTGGGTATTTCATCAGCTTGTTTGAGCAGTTCAATATAGTTCTTACATAGATGTCTGCGAGCAGCCAACTTCCTCGCTATGACAATCCTTAGGTTAATTATCTCACACCATAAAAGATGTCGAATTCCAAGTAGTAAAAGTACCGAACCCTGCCTATTTTGCTCTTGGGGTCTTCTTGTGTTTTTCTTTGGGGGGGATAAACTTGCTCTTTTCTTCTTCTTGGGAGCAGAGACTCCGGCTCTTTGTCAGAGAGCCGTTCTGACGATTCTGAGCGACGTCCTACTGCTGACAATGGTAGAACCAATGGCTACTTAAGGATTTTAATGGAGAACCGTCATATGAGGATGGATGGCTATATATTGAATCCAAGAGAAATAGGTTGGTAGAGTGGAAACGAATAAAACGAATGATGTGCTTTGGGTGTTCTTCTTTGCTTTGTTTTGTTGTTAGTTACTATGTATTTCTGATGTCAATGTTTGTATAGTGCTAATGTTAGTAATCAGTGATAAGAGCAAGTATAATAGCAGAATGTGAGTCTTAATAGTGTGATCAATTGGAAAGGTAGTACTTGATGACTACTTCTCTTGAAGATTACTAGTAAATTCCAACTTTGTTGTGGCGGTTAGTGTTGCTAGTAGACGTAAGCTTGAGAATAAAGCCGAACAACTATATATACATGTTTGCAATATCTTTTATGTCTTCACTATTAGCATTACTTGCTCATTATCAGCACTATCTGTTCATCAGCAGCACGTGCACCTGATATCTATATTCTACTTCTGCTACTATTTAAAGGTTTTTTTTTTTGGTTGGACTAATGTTTAAAGTTTAATCTGTTATATTTTGTAAATTTTTTCATAGTTCTCAAACAACCTATTTACCCCCTCTGGATTGTATTGTTAGCACCCACAATATGGACATTCATTTATTAAATGAACATTTTCATTGCAGTTGGAACAGTCGAATAACTTTCCACCAACAGATCCAATGAAGTTTCTAGCACAATTATTTCCATCTAATCCTTTCCTTGGTGCTTGGGAATGAATTTCTTTCTACTTCATTTTCCTTATATCCCAAACCTAATTTGTTGTAACGAGGAATTAGAATGCAAAGATTGTGCTTAAGTGTCTTTAAACCCACAGAGAATCTTGTGCTGACTTTTGACAAGTTCTCCTCAAGAGAAGCACATTCATTTTGAAAAGTTCATATTCACCTTTGACAGTGTCAAGTTCCTCTTACACAATTATGAGTTCCTCTTTTTCCCAACATTTTTGTGTGACTAGGCTTTTTGCATTCGTAGCAAATAATGTCATTCTATTTGTTTTCATTTTTGCTTTGGAGAATCTCCTCCGAGAATCTCATTTGTCTTTTTCTTTGAAGCTTTTTCCTTTTCTCATCAGGTTTTTGAACCTTCTTGTTAGGAGTATCATGTCTTCATCATCTTCATCTTCAGACGATGTCAGTTCAACAGCATCATTTTAATCAGCTTTGAAAGCAATGACTTTCTTACCTTTGATGCTAATTCCTTCGCTCAAATTCTCTGCTTCATAGGACAGTGGGGGTCCTATCTGTTCATCCAGGGATATGGGTTGGATTCTCATTATTTCATAGACTGATGTCTTCATGTGACTTTACTCCTGTGGAAGTGCCCTCATGAGTTTGTTTACTTTTCAATATCAGTGAAGATTTTTCCCTAATTGGCAAGACCATTCACAACTTTTGTGAATCTCTTGAACATTTGTATGTTGGTCTCATTAGACTTCATCTTGAACATCTTGTAGTTTCCAAAAAGTATGTTCATCTTTGTTTCCCATACTTGAACCGTTCCTTCAACTGTAATTAAGTGTCTCTCCCAGATTTCTTTAGCTGTGACATATGAAGAAATTCTATTAAACTTGGATGGAGAAAGAGCACAATACAATAAATGCTTTGTTTTAGCAATTTGGGCTCGTCTTCTTTGTGACTTCTGTAAAGTAGTTCCTATCAAGTGGTGCAGCGATCGCATAACTCTTAGGAAAAATTCATGCGCTTTCCATGTCTTAACGATTGGCACTAGGACACCTTCTGCTCTGTTCCTTCGATTCCTGCCATCTGACAAGGTTAGATCATGTGTCATTGTCTATTCATTTACTGCCACTTGAAGGGCCAAGTTAAATGACTTTTATGTACTACTAAAGCTACTTCACAAGCTAGCTTATTTTGGAAAATCTTCATTCACAATTTAAGCAGCATTGATGGACTTTGTGCTCTAATTGCTAAAACAGCTACTATTGGTATTTCCCTCCAATTTTTTACATCACCTCGTTCTAGGCCCAGCCCCAGAAGTTTACCTTGGATGAAAGCCCCCGGAGATTCAATTTTCATTGAAGACAAAGCCAAATTCTCATATGTTTGTATATCATAGTATATCAACCTTCTGAACTTAATGTGACCTCTACTGAGTAATTTCACAGCTGCTATTACAGAATTGTCTTTCTGACTTTGCAGATATCAAGCGAAGAAGCTATTGAAACTGCCAAGCTTCTTGCAGTGAAGGAGGGTTTGCTGGTAAAGTGACTTATCTATCATGAGACATTGAGACTTCAGACCCCCAACCTAGGAAACAATGCGCACACCGACTAATATCCATATTCAACTGATTTCCTGGGATGTATGGAGATCGTGGCAATTCAGAGTTTTTTGCCGCGTGCTTATTAGTTGGCTTCTTTGTGATTCTTTCTGTTGCACATTGCAGGTCGGAGTATCATCAGGTGCAGCTGCTGCAGCTGCAATCAATCTTGCAAAGAGGCCAGAAAATTCTGGAAAGCTCATTGTGGTGAGTTAATTTGCATTTATTGGTCATCATAAGCAGAATATCATGCATTTTACAAGTGAGTTCGCAGCAACTTAGCTATGTAGGCAGCATAAATTCTTGTTTAGCGAGTGTGGCTTACTTGAATATTGTTCAGCTGGATGTTGACCATATGTTGAATAAAACTATTCTGGTTTCCTTTTTTCAAAAGACTAAAAACCATTTCTACCTGTTCATACTCTTCTTCAGCAGCAAGCAGCCATTCGATCATACTTATACTAGATATTAACCCTGCTCAGGTGGTCTTCGCAAGCATTGGAGAGTGTTATTTGTCTACTGCGATTTTTCAATCTGTGAAGCAGGAGGCAGAGAATATGCTTTATGAACCTTGACTAATTTCCTCAACGTGTCCACATACTTTCATCTGATTTAACTGACACATCAAGAACAAATTCCAGCCGGCCCTTTCTAATGAAGAATTGTCCCCGTGACAAGTATTTAACAACGTGCTACGGGGACATATATGTTCTTCGCTTCCCGCTTCAGTTTCTTTTTTACTTGTGCAAATCAAACTGCTCGGGCAGGCCTTAGAGCCAGATATTCGTGCTTACTCTTCTGACCACGTAAACTTTCGTGTGAGCTTTCATAACTGTCTTGTAAGTATAACCTTCTGCGTTTGGTGGAGAAGGGGGAGGGTGGCAATTAATAGTTCGTATTTACTCTTTTACTTCCTCCGCTTGCCATGCTTTCTGTCAATCGAATTCACCACACCATTAAGTTCTTCCATGTGCCCAAAAAAAGAAAAAAGAAAGAAAGAGTTCTTTCATATGCATAAAGCTGATAGCAGTTTCATTTCACACTCCACGAAGAAGTAACATTGAGATCACGATGAACATGACTATTCAGGAGCTACTTCTGGTACATAAATGTAGTTAACTTAGTGACTTGAAAATATGGATCAGCCTATTACCTTTTGGCAGCAAGGCGAAAATTTTCGGCCTTCAATATGCCTTTTGAGACTCGACCCGAAAGGCCATCGGATCGGTTCTTATCAGTCTGAAGGGACGACGTCGGTGGACAAGAAACTGTACAGGTACAAATCCTGCAAAGTCCCCTTCAAATAGGCATACTTTCTCAGCAACCCATCTCTTGTGAACCCGGCCTTTTCCAACACTCTCTGGGATGCCCTATTGTCCGCCCCGACAAAGGCTTGAATCCTCAAGACACCAGGGAAATCCCCGAACAACTGGGACAGCGCCATTCTCACCGCTCGGGTCGCCACGCCCTTCCCCTACCACTCCCTGGCCATGCCGTACCCGATGTCCGCCCGGCACCTGTCGTCCCCTGACCCGGGCCAGACGGAGATGAACCCGACACAGCGGTCCCCGACGCACACCGCACGGCGCCAAGGGTGCGGTATGCAGACGTCCCTGATGGTGGCCAGGGCCTCCTCTCTCGAGGACAACGTCTTCCATCTCAGGAACCTCGTGACCTGGTCGTCACCTGCGAACGAAAGCAAGTCGTCAGCGTCGGAAATCCTGAAGGGACGGAGACTCACGGCCGATGGGTCAACTGTCTCCATCGCAAGACATAAAAACTACGATTTCTCTGATGCCGAACTCTAAAGCTCATATGTTCTTTTTTATATCTGGTAGCGAAAGAAGAGAACCCACTTCCTTATTTATTCCGAAAATCAGCAAAAGATGAAGCTGCCAGGAAAGTAGAATTTGGAACATAAACTAAGACCGCGAGAAGAAAATGACCGGGCGAACCGGCTGGGGGTTATCTAAGTGAAAAGTTAAACTGCAGAATTGGGTAGGGGCCGCGCGAACGCAGGCCCCTGCTGCCACAAATTATGACGTAGGCTCGGCCACTTGGGCCGACCTTGGGCTAGCACCCCTCCAGAGTGCAGTGGAGGTCACTAGGCCTAGGCCATGAGCCTTCTTGATCGCCCATTGACCCCGCCCAGGTAAGTAAGTTGCTCTTTGCCCTGGCCTTGCTTTTGTACCGGTCAAAACTCTCTCGCTGATTAAGTTGTCTCTCTGTGTGGGACAAAGAGAGAGAGATATGGAGGAGTCAGTCAAAATTTGGGGTCTTTTAGGGAATAGCAATGGTTTTGCAGGGGGGGCTCATTGGGAGGTTGAAAGCGAGAAAAATCATTGGTTGTTTCTTTGGCTGATTCACCATGAGGAAGAGAGAAAAGGGTGAAGATAAAAAGTGGTATTTGATCAGCTGAATTTGATCAGTTTCCTTGGACAGTTCAAATAGTTCTAGATGCATGTCAACTTCCTCTCTTTGACAATTCTTAGGTTGAATAACTCACACCATAAAAGAGGGCAAATTCCAAGTAGTGAGAGGATCAAACACTGCTTATGTTGCTCTTGGGGTCAATAAACTTGCTCCTGGGGTCTTCTTGTTTCTTCTTGGGAGACGGGGGCTCTTGTTCTTAGCCGGTTGTTATTGAGTGCGCAGCCCAGATGCCAAGACTGACGAGCGAGTGAAAATCACGAATTGAACTTTTCTCACGTACATAAAACATTGACAGTGACTTTATATTAACAGATGCTAAGTCAATGCTGCTCTGCATAGACAGAGACAGAGAGAAACCCGAGTTATTGAGTCAATGCCTTTTGATATATTGAATACATTATAGGCGGCCGGCTCGGCCCCCAGAGAAGAAGTGGAAGATGGTGGTGACGAAGCAATGGTCAAAGCACACAAGCTTCGAAATCTGCAAATGAATCGTCAAGTTCCTCTTATTTAATTGCAGAAGCAACTTTTGGTTTGTCTTCTTAAACTCTCTGACCTTAACGTGCCTGGTTTCTCACGTCTTTTGTTTTTTTTTTTTGTAATTTACCCTTTCTTAATTTAATTTAAATAAAATTCGTATTAAAATAAGATTTTGATCAAAACTGCGTCATTTGAGCCACGTCATTGCTACATATGATAGATAAAATAATAAAAAAAGTTACGTCATAATTTCCGTCAGCCAAGTTGGATAGAGTTAACGGAATGACTCAATAACACAAATTTGACAAGTTTTAAAACTCGATTGCACTTTTTGCAACTTTTAGGACTTAATTACATTTTCGTGATAAATTTTAAGATTTTTAGTGCACTTATCCCAATTATGTTTAAAGAAAGCAACTACTTGCCCCTAAATTAACTTCATTGAAAGATTGATATGATCAACGAACCGTAGATTTTGATTATCCGTTTCCTTTTCCTCTCATGACGGTGCAGCTACCACATGCCTGGGTTCTGCCTGGACAGCCTTTTATTTTGTCACTAGAACATGTGAATTTGCTTCATTTGTGTTGGGAATAAATTAATGCTTAGACTTTCTACCCTTTCATATGTTGTTGTGATGTTCAGCATCGTTCTATTTTAATTTCATGCATTATACAAAATAAATTGCCGAAGGTCCGCATAAAATACAAGGCATCGGTGCTGGCTTCATCCCTGGAGTGCTTGATGTGAAATTACTTGATGAAGTTGTTCAAGTAAGTCTTTATCCATACAAGAAGACAAGTTTGTGCTATCTTCTTTCTGTTTTCTGGTCCTGCCATCATGTTCAGTTATCCTCGTTCCTACATTTCATAACATCCAAGCTGTAGGACAAGGGCAAAAGCACAAAACATGCGAACAGAAAGTCTGCTCTCTAGCTGATGTCCATCTTACTACCTGATAGAGTCATCATTTCTATTCAACAAAATGACGACGACTCTTCAATTGCACATTCTTTTTTTGATTTGCATACCGTTAGCCAACGATCTTTGTGATGTAAATGTGGTTCCTATCAAGTGGTACATGACAGTGAGGGACTGCATAACTCTGTTCCTTCGGTTCCTGCTATCTCAATCAATGCATTGACTGCCCACTCGAACGGCCAAGTAAAATGCACTTCCACCAACTTGTACATCTAGTTCACAAGCAAACTAGCTTGTTTTGGAAATTCTTCATTCACAATTTCAGCAGTATTGAGGGAACTTTTGCTCTAAATGCTAAAACAGCTACTATTGGTTTTTCCCTCCAATTTTTTCCATCACCTTGTTCTTGGTCCAGATACCAGAAGTTTACCTAGGATGAAAAAGCTCTCGGAAATTCAGTTTCACGAAAAGACAAAGACCAATTCTCATCTCAGTTTGTATATCTTTATATATCAAGCTTCCGAACATAATGTGACCTCCATTGAGCAATTCACAGCGGCTATTACAGGATTGTCTTTCTGACTCTGCAGGTATCAAGTGAAGAAGCTATTGAAACTGCCAAGCTTCTTGCAGTGAAGGAGGGTTTGCTGGTAAAGTGACTTGTCTATCATTGGACATTGAGACTTCAGAACCCCAACCTAGGAAACATTTCTTTCTGCTGCATGCTTTTTGGGTGGCTTCTTTGTGATTTTATCTTTTTCACTTGCAGGTTGGAATATCGTCGGGTGCAGCTGCTGCAGCTGCAATTAATATTGCGAAGAGGCCAGAAAATTCTGGAAAGCTCATTGTGGTGAGTTAATTTGCTTTTATTGGACATCATTAGCAGAATATTAAGTATTTTACAAGTGACTTCCCAATAACATAGCTGTGTAAGCATGCATATCTTCTTGTTCTGCTAGCGTGGCTTACTTAAATTTTCTTCAGCTTGATGTCGACTTTCTGTTGAATGAAACTACTCCTATATTCCTTCTCTAAATGATAAAAATACCCTTTTTAGCTGTTCATGCTCTTCTTCAGCAGCAAGCAGCCATTCCATCATACTTATGCTAAACACGAACCCTGCTCAGGTGGTCTTCCCGAGCTTTGGAGAGCGTTATTTGTCCACTGTGCTGTTTCAATCCGAGAAGCAGGAGGCAGAGAATATGTTCTATGAACCTTGACTAATTTCCTCAATGTGTTGACATACTTTGATTTGGTTTAATGGACACATCAAGAAGAAATTCCAGCCGGCACATTCTGATGAAGAATTGTCCTCTGTGACAAGTACACAATAACAAGCTACGGGGACATGTATGTTTCTTTTTGTTTCCCCGCTTCAGTTTTTTTTCTTTCCTTGTGCAAATAAAACTGATCAGGCTGGCCGCGGTGTGTAATGTTTGTACTGTTCTCTTCCGACCATGTAAACTTTCGTGTGAACTTTCATAATCATCTTGTAAGTATGATCTTCTGCGTTCGGTGAAGGGGAAAGGTGACGATTCAGAGTTCGGATTTACTCTTTTACTTCCTCTACTTGCCATGCTTTCTGTAATCGAATTAGCCGTATGCATAAAGCTGATAGCAGTTCCATCTCATATTACATGAAGAAGTAACGTTCAGTTCTTGATGAACACGGCTATACCAGAGTTAATTCTCATACATAAATGTAGATAACCCAGTGACTTGTAAATGTAGATCAGTCTACTAGCTTTTGGTAGGAGTCGAGGAGAGAATGGAGAAAAAGATGCCTAGAGAAAAGTTAAAGACTTTTAGGTTTTATGAAATTGATTCCAAAACCAGTTCGTTCAGTCCGAATCCCGAGTGATTCTTCACTTGAAACCGGGACCGGTTCCAAACGGGCCGGTTCCAACGAAACCTAGAACCGGACCGATTTTCAGGGTGGTCCGATTCAATTCCCAAGTAGAACTGGTCCGGTTGCACAGCCTTAGCATGCACGACCCATGAACTCTGGATCGCTCGAGTTTGTTCGGGGTTGGTTTTAAGAGATGTGATTTTAGAGTGCGTTTATTTTGCGAAAAATGAATGATCTGAAAATATTTTCATAAAATTGATCAATTGTATTGCTTATAAAGATAAATGGATGAAAAATATTTTCATCGTTTACTAAAATGTTCAGAAAATAAATCGTTGTCAATAATTGAAATATTTCTCATTAACTTAAATAATATAATTATTAAAAAAATATTTTTCAAATTATTCATTTTCATGAAATAAACGGAGCCTTAATCTTTACGTTTAATTTTGAGTCTCGATTTGCAATTATTTATTTTTGCAATCTTTATTCCGAAAATTTAAAATACAAGACCATCTCCTATGGTACCAAGATGAATGTAGACGTCAAACCTGACACCTTCGCCGGAGTCTCTTTCCCCAGTACGCATATGATGCAATGCTCTGTCTATATATTTATTTACTGAGTTTGTCAGTCAACTTTTTGATTTTTCTTTCTTTTTTTATCTTGGCTAATAATAATAATAATAAAAGAGAGAATACAACGGACTTCCCCCGTATTTCCATGAATATATTAGTACGTCGAAATTTTCTTGACCAATTATAAAAATTCCGAAAAATTACAACGATTCTGAATAATCAATTTTTTCCAATCAAGCTGTCGAGATAGATAATTTGCGATTAAAGTCGAGCAAATTCGCCGTAACTTTCTTGGTTCCAAGATGGCTTATGTGATTTCAACATCAGGCTTGTGACCATCGTCTGTCTGTCGATGTCGATATGTCGGTTCACTAAGTATTACCATCGGCCAAGGGACTTGATTGAAAAATCTATATAATTTGAGGACTCGATTGCACAAACTACAAAGTTAATAGCAAATGTGTTGACTTTTAGTCTGCTCTCTTGCTAATATCCATCTTACTACCTCATACAGTCGCAATTCCTTGTCATCTAAATGACGACAAGTTTTCAATTGCACATGTTTTCCATGACCTGCATGCCAATTAGCCAACGATCTTCGCGGTGCAAATGTGGTTCCTATCAAGTGGTACAGGGATCGCATAACTCTTAGGACAAACTCATGCGCTTTCCATCTCTTAAAAGAACGATTGGCACTAGTACACCTTCTGCTCTGTTCCTTCGATTCCTGCAATCTGACATGGTTGGATCATGTGTCTATCGTCGATTCATAAACTGCCACTAGAAGGGCCAAGTTAAATGACTTCTATGTACTAGTAAAGCTACTTCGCAAGCAAACTAGCTTATTTTGGATAATCTTCATCCACAATTTCAGCAGCATTGATGGAATTTTTGCTCTAAACGCTAAAACAGCTACTATTGGTGTTTCCCTCCAATTTTTTCCATCACCTCGATCTAGGCCCAGCACCAGAAGTTCACCTTGGATGAAGTGGCCCTTGGAGATTAAATTTTCATTGCAGACAAAGCCGAATTCTCATCTGTCTGTATATCGTTGTATATCAAGCTTATAAACTTAATTTGACCTCTACTGAGTAATTTCATAGCAGCTATTACAGGATTGTCTTTCTGACTTTACAGATATCAAGTGAAGAAGCTATTGAAACTGCCAGGCTTCTTGCAGTGAAGGAGGGTTTGCTGGTAAAGTGACTTGTCTAGCACGAGGCATTGAGACTTCAGACCCCCAACCTAGGACACAATGCGCAAGCTGACTAATATTTATACTCAACTGATTTCTTGGGATATACCATGATCGTGGCAATTCAGAGTTTTCTGCTGCGTGCTTTTCAGGTGGCTTCTTTGTGATTTTATCTGTTGCGCTTTGCAGGTCGGAATATCGTCAGGTGCAGCCACTGCAGTTGCAATCAAACTTGCAAAGAGGCCAGACAATTCTGGAAAGCTCGTTGTGGTGAGTTAATTTGCATTTATGGGACATTATAAGTAGAAATTCATGCATTTTACAAGTGAGTTCGCAGTAACTTAGCTATGTAAGTAGGGTTCCCCTAGATCCTTGGTGTTCAGTTAAGAGGTAACCTCACCAAAGGAAGGGAGCCAAATCTCCTACGAGAGCCTCCATGGCCTATCCCCATCTTGTGGGTTGGGCTCTATGGATGTGTTCTTTATTTTAACATGCCGGTGCCCGAATACCTCGCACTCCCAATTCCCCATGTATATTTATCTTCTCCAGAAAAAAAGGAATACTCTCATAAAGTTTTACATTTCTAGGGATCTCGAGATCCGGATGAGACCCAAGATAAAGCCTTTTAAGGACTTGCTTAGGTCCGATATATTCATGTTTTGTTAGTGTGGCTTACTTGAGTATTGTTCAGCTTGATGTTGACATTCTGTTGAATAAAACTATTCTGCTTTCCTTTATTCAAGAGACTAAAAACCATTTCTTCCTGTTCATACTCTTCTTCAGCAGCAAGCAGCCATTCGATCATCCTTATACTAAATGTTAAACCTGCTCAGGTTGTCTTCGCAAGCTTTGGAGAGCGTTACATGTCTACTGCGCTTTTTCAATCCGTGAAGCAGGAGGCAGAGAATATGCTCTATGATCTTTGACTAATTTCCTCAACGTGTCGACGTACTTTCATCTGGTTTAACTGACAGTATTGACACATCAAGAACAAATTCCAGCCGGTCCGTTCTAATAGTTAAAAGTAAAGCAGAAGAAGGATTTTTGTATATTCGATAATATATAAAAGAATACATGGAGAGCCTATTTATAGACTTATTAGATAACTGATTAAGGAAACAAGATAAACATAATATCAAATCTAAATCAATCAAGGATATGCAATATCAAAAGAAATATATGCATATTCCCTAGAGATATGCAGAATCAAATAGATATCCTGATATCGCTAACACTAATGAAGAGTTGTCCTCGTGACAAGTATTTGACAACGTGCTACGGGGACATGTACGTTTTTTCGTTTCCCCTTTCAATTTTTTTACGTGTGCAAATCAAACTGCTCAAGCAGGCCTTAGAGCCCGATATTCGCGCTGGACTCTTCCAACCACCTAAATTTTAGTGTGAGATTTCATAACTGTCTTGTAGGTATAACCTCCTGTGCGTTTGGTGATTTACTCTTTTACGTCCTCCGCTTGCCATGCTTTCTGTCGATCGAATTCACCATACCATTTTCAGAAGTTCTTCCATATGCCCAAAAAAGAAAAAAAGAAAAATAAAAGAAAGAGTACTTTCATATGCATAAAGGAAGGAACTAGTTCTATCACCCTGGTTGGCGGTTCCCATTCCATGATAGCCCGGATCTTGGCTGGGTCCATTTGCACTTGTCAATTTGCCCGTCCCCAGAAGTATTCTAGAATATATAAGAATCAGTCACGATCAATCGTTTAGAAACGATTCATTTCTCTGGGCCGTGACACTTGAAATATAGATCAGCCTAGTAGCTTTTGGCAGCAAGGCCAAAATTTTCGGACTTCAATATGCCTTCAACCTGAAAGGCCATCAGATCGGTACTTATCGGTCTGCAGGGACGACGCCAGTGGACAAGAAACTGTACAAGCACAAACCCTGCAAAGTCCCCTTCAGACAGGCATACTTTCTCAGCAATCCATCTCTTGCGAACCCGGCTTTCTCCAACACTCTCTGCGAAGCCTTATTGTCCACCCCGACAAAGGCTTGAATCCTCAAGACATCAGGGAAATCCCCGAACAGCTGGGACAGCGCCACTCTCACCGCTCGGGTCGCCACGTCCTTCCCCCACCACTCCCGAGCTAGGCCGTACCCGATGTCTGCCCGGCACCGGTCGTCCCCCGACCCGGGCCAGACGGAGATGAACCCGACGCAGCGGTCCCCGACACACTGCGCGGCGCCAAGGGTGCGGTATGCAGACGTCCCTGATGGTGGCCAGGGCCTCCTCTCTCGAGGTCAACGTCTTCCATCTCAGGAACTTCGTGGACCTGGTCGTCACCTGCGAACGAAAGGAAGTCGTCAGCGTCGGAAATCCTGAAGGGACGGAGACTCACGGCCTATGGGTCTACTGTCTCCATCGCAGGACAAAAAAAACTACGATTTCTCTGATGCTGAACTCTAAAGCCATCTTTTTATATCTGGTAAAGAAGACCCACCTCCTCTATTATTCCTGAAATCAGCGAAGACGAAAATGCCTGGAAAGTAGAATTAGGTACATGAATGAAAAACGAAGAATATGACTTGGAGAATCCTGCGGACCGCGCGAACCGTAAGCCGATGAAGGATTGAACTGCGGAATTGGGTAGGGGCCGCGCGAACGCAGGCCCCCGCTGCCACAAATTATGACGTAGGCTCGGCCACTTGGGCCGACCTTGAGCTAGCACCCCTACCGGGTGCAATGGAGGTCACTAGGCCCAGGCCATAAGCTTTCGTGATCGCCCATTGACCCCGTCCAGGTAAGTGATTTGCTCTGTGCCCGGGCCTTGATTTTGTACCGGTCAAACTCTCTTGCTGATTAAGCAGTCGCTCTGTGTGGGACAAAGAGAGAGAGATATGGAGGAGTCGGTCAAAATTTGGGGTCTTTTAGGGAATGGCAATGGTTTTGCAGGGGGGGCTCATTGGGA